AGAGTTGCTCTGCCCCGGGCTTCCTGGAATCAGCTGCTGATCAGTTTCAGCAGCAGCTGACTTGGGGACACCTGGGGTTCTTAAATTGAATCTGTATGTAAGTCGGAACTGGCGTCCAGATTCAGCCTTTTGAAACTGATCAGTGGCTGATTCCAGGAAGCTGGGGGCAGAGCAATTCTGCCTCCAGCTTCCTGTAGTCAGCCCCTGGTCAGTTTCAGCAGCAGCGGCTGAATCTGGAGCCAGTTCCGACTTACATACAAATTCAACTTAAGAACAAACCTATAGTCCCTATCTTGTACGTAACCCGGGGACTGCCTGTACATATAAAGGTAAACAGGAGTCCAAGTTCCCAAATCAAGAATGGACTCTTAATCAACATTTAATTACTGCTTCATTTTAACAAATGTAATACCTATACACAATAATACATTTGTACTATGTGTTGGTGTTGCATATATAACATACCTAACAGAACCACAAAACAAGGAAATAAATTGTAATATCTAAAAGGACATGCCTCTTCTACTCCTCCCCCCACACACCCATTTTGGGGAAAAAACACATTCACTCAATATTTGGAGAAGGGTTTGGTAGAATGTTGGCATTACTATTGGGGCATAGTTGAAGTTCAGATGCTTTGTGAAGTGTCTTTTGTTTTCAGCTGTGAACTGTGGATAGAGAAGTAGAAAGTACCAACTGCTGGAGTTCTTAACTTTTCAATGCTTGTGTTAGTGGTTTTGCATTGAATATAAAACCCACACGCTCAACTCACACACCATACAGCTTTTGGGTATTAATTTTCTACTTTTCTAGATTAAGAAAGGCTCCTCAATGTAGGAATAACTACTTTTATGATCAATATCTGCTCCTAAGCCCGGACGGACTTTCATGAAGAGCCTAGTATTATCAAATTTCCTGTTTCTTTGTCATAGAGCCTACCTTCTGTGAAGCTCTCTTGCTCGTTTAGGAAAGAAACTCTTAAGCCAGCTGAACAGTTTATCAAAAGGAGATTGATAGCGACTGCTTTCATGAGGCTCAGGAGCTCTTGTGCTGGCTGTCTGATTTCACAAAGAACAAAATCCTTGACACAATACCAACAGCTTTATCAAAGACGCTGCAGCAGTTATATGGAGCGCCTAGTTTTCAATAAGCCAGCAACTATTTCATAGAGGATCCTGATTAGCATGAAAACCATAGAGCAATAAGTGTCATAAAAGGTCCTTTCTTTGAGAAAGAGGAAGTTACCTTGTGCCATAATGATGGTTCTTCAAGATGTGTCCCCCTATGGATGCTTCACAGTAGGTGTATGTGTGCCCCTGCACCTCTAATCGGAGATTTTTGGTAGCAGTGTCTGTTGAACCTGCACATGTGCTTTCCCTTGTGATATGCCTCTAGACTGTCTAGCACTGTGCGGGCCAAAGCCCGACATCCTTCTCTACCACAGAGTCCTATATAAAACTCCAAACTAGAGAGGAGGAGAGCGGGTTGTGGAGCACCCATAGGGACACACGTTTTGAAGAAAGGGAAAGTTACTCAACTTATGCAGTAACTGGCGTTCTTTGAGATGGGTCTCCTTATGAGCAGGGCTCGCCAAACCGCAGCGAGCCCCACTCGCCAGCCACACTGTCCGGTGATCTGTGCATGCGCAGATCGCCCGAACCCGGCTCTTCCGGGTTGTAATCTACTCACCACGGGCAAGCAGACTGCATTATTTGTCGAACACTGTAGGTGTTTTGGCTCTCCTGCACTTGGAATTGGAATTTTTTTTAACAGCAGTATCCATTCCTAGGTGTCGGCGTGAATGTTCAGTACTGCCCACGCTGTAGCAAATGTGCTGACACAATGCACCGTCAACCATCCATCCGTTGCTTCTCTATCATGGAGAGATATTGTAATTCCAAAGCAGAAGGGAGGAAGCCGGGTCATGGAACACCCACACACCTTCCCTTTCTTCTTCAAGGAGTGTCCCTGTGGGTGCTCCACTGTAGGTAACAGTACCTTCAGTACTAGGGAACAGTACCTTCAGTTTTTGGAAGGAGGGGCTTCAGGCCTGAGTGGTGGACAGTTGCAAGGACCACTTCCCTGAAGGTGGTACACTGTCAAGTGTGTCTATAGCATAACATTTTGTAAATGTGTGGACAGAGGCCCATGATGCTGCCCTACAAATGTCCTTGATGGATGTTATGCAGGAAAGCCATAGAGGTAGCTATTGCTCTGGTGAAAGGTGCCCACAAATGAGTTGGTAATGGCACCTTATTGGCATGGTAGCACTCTTTAATACAGTTTGCTATCCATTTCAAAAATATCTGTTTTGAGATCACATGATCTTTAAAGTGGCCGTCTATAGAAATAAAGAGTCTAGGAGGGTGCCTGAACAGTTTTGTGCTATATAGAAGACAAGTGCCCATCGAATGTACAAGGAGTGGATTTATCCTGCATTAGCATTGGATGAGGTTTTTGGTGAGAAAAAAAGGTAACTATATAGGCTCGTTAAAGTGGAATTGTGAAACTATTTTTCGGAGAAATTTGGGATGTGGCATTAAGACTATTTTGTCCTTGTAGAAGGTGGTAAATGGCAGATTTGCCATGAGTGCTGCCAATTCACTGACCCTCCTTGATGTTGTGATTGCTAGTAAGAAAGCAACTTTAGTGGAAAGTGCATCACAGAACATGTTGCTATGGGCTCAAAAGGTGGGCAGGTTAATGTGTTGAGAACGAGGTTGAGATCCTAAGGCGGCACAGCCGACTTCACAGGGGGAAAAAGATTGTTGAGGCCTTTTAGGAACCTCTTTGTAGTTGGATGAAAAAATATGTTGTGGTGATCCATGACCTCATGCTCACTTGTACAAACCAGGAAGATGGATCTATTGATTCATATGGACAATGCAGAGACAATAGGGAGAAACTTAAGATATGGCCTTAATTTGTCTTTAAAAAAGGAATTAATAATCTCTCATCCATGTATATCACAGACACATGTATGAAAAACAAGTTGGCATGGACTCAAAGGGCAGTCTAGTCAAAGCCCTGAGAACTAGGTTAAGACTCCAAGCTCACGTGGATGGTGTCACACATGGGAAGAGATTCCCAGTGCCCTTAAGGAATCTATGCATCAGCAGGTGAGCAAACATCAAGTATTTGTCTACCTGGTGGTGGAAGGATGTATTCACTGCAAGTCGTATCTTAATGGAGCTGAATGAAAGTTTTGACCTCTTGAGGTTTCAAGTGTAGTGTAAAATCAGAGGGAAGAAAGAGGAGATGGAGTCTGTGTGTTTAGATTAACAACCTGGAATTGCTTCCATTCTGTAGGTGGACTGCTTAGCTTTTAGCTCATCAGAGAATTCTGCCACTAAGCCTTGGAACAAAGATTAAGCCTCATCTGCATGCAAAAGATGTACTGGTTGGAGGTAAAGGAGCAGGCCTTTGTACTGAGATATCAAGTGAGGACTCAGCTGAAGGGGGAAGGGAAGGAGCATTGTAGTAGGGAAGGGACATGAATCAAATGGCATAACTTTTCAAAACAACAACAGTTTGGTAATTTGCAATTCTAAACAGTTATGTCAGCAACAACTACTCCATTTTTCGAAACCTGAATGTGTGGGGGGAGGAGATAAAAAAAACACTGAGGCTATGTCTATACTGCTGGCTTTTGCTGGCAGACAGTATGCTAATGAAGTGCTCATTAGCAACTTGTTACACTTCATTTGCATCATCTCTGTCCAAGGCTTTTTACGCAAGAGGTTTTTGCAAAAATCCCC